TTAAACTATACTCATATATATATATATATATATATATATATATATATATATATATATATATATATATATAAATAAATTAATATAAAATATGGTCTTTCAGTATGCTGTATGTATGGGTTAAAATGCTTAATACCTGGGATAGAGTTCATGTAAATATAAGTGGACTTTAAAGTCAACACCCAGAGGCCACAATCTGTTTCATGCTTAAACGCAATCTTTCCGGCCATGTGCATTTTGTTTCTGTTCAACTATTTATATAGGCTGATTATTGGTGCATTATGGGTAAGTCTATTGTTTTATTCTAATGTTTATTGTATGGGAGGTAATGGTTATGTTTCACAATATTCTAGAGGTTATTAAGTAGAAATAATTGTGCCTCCGAATGCATTTTTGTGGTTATTTTATAATGTTGCTTCTTAACTTTTTTTACTTATTATTTAATAAATGATGACTTTATTATTTGTTATTGAATGTTACATGTGTTTATACGTAGTTTGTTAATTTGTTTATTATTTACTTAATTATTTTTTTGAATTGCATTATTTTTTTGTTTCTTTTTTTTAATCTTTTTTTTATCTTTCTTTTTTCGTTCGTTTTCAGTTTTCGATTTTTAAGCAACGCTGTACAAATACGTGTTCATTGCAGCCTTTTGAGATGTGCTCCGATCATTTATTTAGTAATTTGTGTTATTCTTGAAAGGGAATCACTGCTATTTTCACCTTCAGACAGAGTTTACCGATTTGGGATTTATTCTTGTAGTTCGAGATTTTATTTCTATTTTCCAAGTTATTTTGGTGTGATTTGTTTCGTGTTTTAATTTCCCATATATGTTTAAAAAGCATTGTGCTGTTTCATGCGTCCAGCATGGATCAGCCTGTCGCCTCTGAGTGTTGACTTCAATGTTCACTTTTATCTTTATATTTACATAAGCTCTATCTCTGATATTGAGCACTTTATCCCATAAATATAGCACACATTAAAACTATATATATATATATATATATATATATATATATATATATATATACACACACACATATATATATATATATATATATTATAGTAAAAAAAAGAAAGAACAGTAAGATATATAATCCGTTGTTCTTATTGATATTTTTATTTTTACAAAGCTGTGCTCAATAGGGGTGCATTTAAGACAAACTCGTGCATACGAGACGCGCAAGCGAAAATCGTAACGCAGCTCGTAACGTCACACATGACCACGCGAGAGTGAATATATATATACTGACATGCAAAACTTTTGGACTGCCTTAGTAAATTGACAACTTTAAAGATTTATTTAAACAGAAACCATAAAGAACACTACATAATTATCTTTAAATAAAGAACAGGCGTATGATGATTGAGAGACAAGACATTTGGTGTAATATATATATATATATATATATATATATATATATATATATATATATATATAGAGAGAGAGAGAGAGAGAGAGAAAGATAATATCAAATCCGTAAGTGGAAAGGATAATCTAAGGTCTTTTTAATATAAAATATTAAAAAAGATAGATTCTTTGAGCATAAACATCAGTTGACAGCTCCATCTCTTCAATCATATAAATCCCCAGAAAAAATTTCCATGTTAACTTCTAGACATCTTGTTATCTTTTTAAAAATATTGTCTCGATAAATTTAAACTATTTTGTAAAATTAAAGCATTTGTAATTTCGGTCTGATGAGACAGATATTAAAACTTACCTTATAATTATAATTTATAACCGAGTTTTCGATGATGTGTTAACTTTTTCCTTTGTTATACACACAAGCACACACACACACGTATATATATATATATATATATATATATATATATATATATATTAGCATAAAAGCAGCCCTATTGGCGGCATTTAAGCTAGCTCCCGCAGAGGGCTCTTGACTGGGCCTTCATCACAAGTTTGGGAGGAGTAGATGCTATACGTAGCAATAAATTATAGAATGCACAAACTGATCGCTGCATTTAAATATTACATTGATATTTAAGCTTACCTTTTAACAGTTCAACGATAATTCTTCTGCCGCCAATGAATTTGCAATTTGATGCACATAGGTCCTTAATTTTCCATACAAACAATTATTTTTGTTTTATGGGTGACTTACGCTCGATTTCGCAAATGATTTCAATTATTCACAAAATTATTTCCAATTTATAAATCTTGTTATCTTAAAAAAAAAATCTCCCCAAAACAATAGCAATAATGAATATTGTGAATCCAAAATTTCAGGATTTCGGTTCCGGGTCCGGTCGGCAATGTTTTTAATTTGCTCACGTGGTGAGCCTGATTCCAAAATGCTTTTTAAAGAGCCACAATTTTTAAATACAGAGTTGTCCTTCTCCTAGAGCAGTTGCCATCCAAGGCTATAGAACCCAGTCTGCCCTGCTATTTACCCATAGCTGGAGGATTCACACATTTCCCAAGCTATTAGCACGTAAGTGAATGTAATGGATTCGACTGGAATTCAAACTCGGCTCTCCGATTCCATTACTCCACGGTGTCTCCATATATATATATATATATATATATATATATATATATATAAATGTGTGTGTATGTGTGTACGTGTGTGTGTAAATATATATACACTGCGTGCCAAATTATTATCGAGATAACATTTTTTCAAATATTTCAAAAACCGTCCAATCAATTCACACAAATGTTTCACACAATGTTGGCAACACTGACCTGCGCAGTCACTGAAATTTTCGTATTGATCTAGGCAATGTAAACAAATAGGCGCCATATTTGTTATCAGCACGGTGATTTGCGCGTGCCAAATTATTAGAAAGGTTTAGTAAAATTCCCAGAACTGAGCAAACAAAACGTTTATTAATGTTGCACGTGAATGTTTATGATCAAAAGAAGCTAATAAATAAGATAATCAAACAAATAATAGCAGATATAAACAAAGGCACAGTTTTAAACAAATTAATAGGGAATGTGCTCTCCCAGTTTTGAAATTACTTGAAGAAGTTGACGATCCATAGAATTTGTTAATTGTAGGATGTCATCTGCTGTCATGCCGCGATATATGTCAAGAATTGCTTCCCACAACTCAGCGTTGCTCCTGAATTGTCGTCCATTGGCGTACAGTCTTCGCTTCATGATGCTTCAAAGGTTTTCGATTGGGTTCAAATCCGGAGATTTTGCTGGCAACATCATTTTTCGAGGTCCATCGAAGCCTAACTATTTCAAATATTCAGTAGTCTTGTGAACAGCATGTGAGGGAGCATTATCTTGCATAAAAAACAATGGCCCTTCTGAAGGAAACTCTTTGCCTTTTCATCCACGGTTCAAGATGCTCCTTCATAAACGCTATGTATGCATCAGCAGTCATTTTGACGCCATCTGGTAGTCTCCATGGGCCCACTAATGTTTTTTCCAATAATACCACCCCAGATCATTATGCATCGACGACTTTGTTGGCGTCTCTAACGCTGATGGCGATTCTGTGCGTTCATTACCCAGACTTTGCACCATCTATCTGGCCCATCAAGTGTTGCTCGAGTTTCGTCTGTGATCAAAACTTTAGAGAAGCCAATCTTCATATTGTCCTCGGCCCATTTCAATCGATTTTGAATGTGATTCTCGTCAACGGAGGCTTCGATACAGGTTTGACTGTTGTTGCTATTTCCCTCAGATACCGACACCGAGTCCTTTTAGACACAGTAGGATCCCCAATGCGACTGAAAAGCTCTTGAATGGTAAGTCCAGGCTTCGTCGTGGCCTCTCGTTTAAGTCGTGACATGAGACGACGTGAAATAACCCTCGGTTTGCCTTTATCTGCGCTTTTGCGTAATTGTGTAGAGTCGGTGGTGAACTTTTTCACAGTTTGATGACACCTCCCTATCATTTTAGAAATTTCTAGGGTAGATTTACCTTATGAGAGTTCTGAGGTGATAGTTTTCTTTTCAGCATCCTTTAAACTGCTTTTACTGCCCATCTTTTCACTAAATTCTTTTCTAATAATTTGGCATGCTCAAATCACCGTGCTAATAACAAATATGGCGCCAGTTTGTTTACTTTGCGCAGATCAGTACGAAAACAGTGATTGCGCTGGTCAGTGTTGCCAACATTGTGTGAAAATTTTGTGTGAATTGATTGGACGGTTTTTGAAATATTAGAAAAAAGTTATCTTGATAATAATTTGGCACGCAGTATATATATATATATATATATATATATATATATATATATGTATGTATGTGTGTGTGTGTGTGTGTGTGTGTCTAATATTTCAGATATAACTAAAAATATATCCATATATCCGTAAACGCAAAATGTGAAAAAAGACAAAAGGAAACGTTATCTGAATCGACGCGTTCCCTCCTCCTCTTGTGAACGTCATCAAGACAAATTTAAGAATTTCACTTTGCAGCATATATTTACAAATTATGTAAACAGAAGCAAGAACGTTGTTAGTTTTGAAAATATTTAAATCTAAGAGACGCTCATGAATATTCATCACTCTAACTGAGAAGACTCGGTTAATTATGAATGATCCTAAGTGACTTACTTTGATGTTTAGTAAACGAAAGTCAGTAAAATTTTATGCAAATTAATATTTAAATTATTTTGGTATGGCGTAAAGTTATGTTTTATACATTTTAAATAAGAAGAGTTTATGAATTTAACTGTCTTCTTTTATTTTATTTTATTTTATTCAAATTTTTATTTTTATTTTTATTTTTTGACATTTATATATTCATATTCCTTGAGAAAGGATTAAATCTTTCAGAAATCCGGGGCGTAGATTTACATTTTGATAAAATTCCATAGCGGCACTCTCGAGAATTTTGCGTCTAAGTAAGTTCTTCTCTTTTAATCAATGTGGCATTATTTAAATCAAAGTTGTGGTTGAATTTATTTCTATGTATGACTAATGCATTTGATAAATTTTTGTGTATCCTTTTTGTGTTCATATATACAGTTTTTTTTACAATTCTGCATGTTTCCCTATGTATTGCGAGGAGCAAAT